CCTTGTATTTCATTCCTGTGAGTTTCATAGTTACTATTTGAATCTAGGCTTCCTCCTCCCTTTGTTATACAATTGTGTCGTGGCTGATTATCCTTGATATCTTTTTCTCCCATCTCTTCCACACACTTTCATATTTCACATTGTTCAGAGTCCCTTAGGGTCTACCTAGTACTCAGACTCTGGCAAACTCTACCCATTCATTCTAATTTCTCACTGCTCTTAAGTCAGACTAGTCATCTTGCTTTCTTCAGTTTCCATGCCTTTGCTCATGCTAATCTCTTACTATAGAATTTCTCCCCTTTCTTATTCATTCACCTGTACCAAACTTATCTATTTGTTTAGAGACCCAATTCATGTTCATCTCTTTCATGAAATCTCTTCAAAACTATTCAGTCTTTGGTAGCTTTTCTGACCACTACCACCTTTGTACTATTTGTCATTTAATTACATGCTACTTGTTACTTCCCATTTTTCCTTCGTCTTCTCTCTTTAACACTGTAAGCACTGTAAGGTTAGCTTAATGGTATTTGCATAATAGGACTTCAACAAACCTTTGAATATAGGATAATAGTACCAATAATAATAGTTATGTGGTTACATGGACCAGCGCTGTTCTGAGTGCTTTGCTGTATGAACTTATTTAATCCTCAGAAGAGTGAAGTAGGCAGTTCTCTTACTCCTGTTTTGCCAGTGAGGGACCTGAGAGAGGGAGGTTAATTTGTCCCAGGTCAGAAAGCAGGAAACAACAGGCAGACTGGCTCCACAACTCACTCTTAACCACTACGCTATTCTGGGTCTCCTCAGAGTCATCAGTGCAATTGGGTTTGAGTAGGTCTCGAAATTGCCTCTTTAAAAACATGTTAGCAGCAACAACAAAAAGGGACAACTTTTGTCTTAATAAAGTATATTAGCTATGTATTTTCTTATTTGATTTCTTTAACTTTTTTTTTTGCAGATGGTAGTTAGTATTGCTGAAGATCTCTTACGAACTGCTACCCAAAACAGCAGGCTGTCTTTACAGCGCACCCAAGCTGGATGGCTTTTACTTGGAGCACTTATGACTTTAGGTATAATGATATTGAAGTAGGATTTTTGTCTTATTCTATAACTGTCAGTAGACAATACAGAAAATTTAAGGTATTAATGTTAGAGATAAAGATAGAGTGAAATGCTAGCTATTATTAAAGCTTGTGTGGAGCTCTTTTTAAAATTTTTTTATTGTAAAGTATGTCATATATGTATATATATGTATGATTTTGGATTTTCCTTTTCTCGGTTAGGACCATCTGTCGTTCGCTATCATCTACCGAAGATGTTGTTACTGTGGCGAAATGTTTTCCCTCGTTCTTTAAAGGAACTGGAGGCTGAGAAGGCCCGAGGCGATTCTTTTACCTGGCAGGTAACATTGGAAGGCCGTGCTGGAGCTCTATGTGGTAAGAACTGAAAAGGATGCACTTTCAGAATATTTTTTTATTACTAAAATATTTGTGAAGTGAAGGAAAAGAACTACTTAAAATTTTTATTTTAATATGTAGTAAATTTGTAACATAAACTTATATGTAAGTTTACTATATAATTTAAAGTTTGTAGACCTTTAGATTTAGAAAGAAATTTTGTAAATAATGT